ATGGCCGCCGGATCAACAAAAGGGCTGCCCGCAGCGTTTTCGCGCCGATTCCTCGCTTACAGAGGTGGCGAAAATGGCGGCCCTATGGAGGATTCCCGCTTAGCAGTGAGTTTATCCCCCATAGGAACGCATTAAACAGAATTTAATGCGTTCCTATGGAGTTTTTATTTCCGTATAGCGACGATATATCCGGAATGGATTATCGTCGCTATCCGGGGCACCACTGTACTTTACAGAGTTGAAGGCTTCTTCTAGTTTCCCAAAGACATTGCTTTTACATCACTGTCTAGACTTTGGCTTTGAAGGGAGACTTTAAACATTTTTGTTAGTGTGTCCCAATGTACACAAGGCAACTTCAGAAATCAGACCCTGCCTCCTTGGGAAGGCAACAATAAAAACAGCACTTTGGAAGGAGTCAATAACAAAATGTGCCACTAGGGGACAGCACTGACAAACAAGCGTGCCATTCTCTGTAAATTCCTTCCCCACTCCCTTTTAACTTAACTATTTAAAGGTAACTTGATGAAAAAGATTCCACCTTCACTTTCAATTTCTCCAAGCAATCTCACCTCCGTGCCAATCTGTCTGCAGTTCTTTCCATACAGACAGACGTAGGTGCTCAGTAGCTCTTTCTGTATGGAGAAAATCCCACTGCCTAGTTAAAGAGGGGCAATGTGCTATTTTTTTTAATGCTTAACAGAGATAACACAGAATGCCCCTCTCCCCCAGAATAGGGGTGGCATGAGTGTAAAGGAAAATTCCCTTCTTAATGAAACGTGCAAGAACGTGCATATTCCTCTGGACTCTCTACCGACTGTGTTAGGGCAAACCTGGAGGCTTACGTCCCCTGATTTAAATAGAGTCTGTTAGCAAGTCTCAGTCATGAACTGCACCTTAAACCTGGCTTGTCTGATCTTGGTTTATATGAGAGCCAGCTGGTATACGTAGAGTGCTGGACTAAAACTCAGGAGACCCAGGTTCAAATCCATTGAATTTTCTGGGTAACCTTTGCTCAGTTGTTGTGTCTCCATCTGATCTACCTTGCAGGGTTGTTACGGGAATATCATGGAGCCATGCAGTTCACTTTCAGCTTGTAGAATAAGCAGTGGGATATAAATGCAAGAAATAAACACACAAACACAGATGCAGAACATATAGGTTCATTCAAACAGACTGTTAGAGAGAAACATCAATGACCAAAACTGCACAGTCTGAGAGTGTTACCAGAATAAGGGGATGCTAAACAACTTCCGAGTACAGTACAACCTCCGTATCCACGTATCATGTCCAAGCCCCTCCCCCTGGATGCTGAAAAACACACATTATAGCAAACACTATTATAATGGCAAAAGCTATACAAAGACTGGTCTCTGTCTACCTCTAGTGGCCAGTTCTGGTAACTTTATCTTTAGAAATATATTTCTCTAGGATTTTTCTTGCAATGGTATTAATATTTCCAGACTGTGGATAAGTGAATCATGAGATACTAATCTCGTGGATAAGGAAGACGTACTGTAATTTATACCTAGGAAACCTGGCAAAGGTTCTCATAAGTCAAAATCGACTTGACAGCTCATGGTTTATTTACCGTATTTTTCAGTGTATAAGATGTTACTTTTTTCTAAAACATTTAGATTAAAAATTGAGAGTCATTTTATACATGGAAGTAAGGAGGGGGGAAGGGATCTAAGCACTTTGATCCCTGCTTTCCCCCTCCACTTTCTTCTTCGTAGAAGGAAGCTGGAAGAAGTAGTGGGAGACCACTGGAGGCTAACAATTAAGTAATCTCAATACCATATTTTTCAGTGTACAAGACACCCCCATGTATAAGACCCCCCACTTTTCTAACCCAAAATTTCTTTCTTCTCAAGAAAGTGGAGGGGGAAAGCAGGAATCATCAAAGCGCTTTGATTCCTGCCTTCCCCCTCCACTTTCTTGCAAAGAAAGAAATTTTGGGTTAGAAAAGTGGAAAGGGTGTCTTATACATGGGGAAATACACTGAAAAATTGTCTTATACACTGAAAAATATGGTATTTAGATTACTTAATTGTTAGCCTCCAGTGTTCTCCAGCTTCCTTCTACCAAAAAACATTGAGTAAGTAGGACAAGATGAAATCGGTCCACCGTGGCTTTTGATGGGGAGCGCAGAAAGGACCATCAGAAAGGACCTCAGAGAGTGACTGGGGCCAAGGAGTCAACAGAAATCAGATGCACAGGAACTTACGGTTGTCATAAATAGGATTAGAGATCACCGGTGGCAGAGAGCGAGTGCAATTTCCGTGTTCATCAGTGAGGAAAGCTTGGAAACAGAGCCTCACTACATTGAGGTCATACTCCTCCACAGCCAGCAGTTGTTCTTCGGGCACTGTGGAAACAAAGATGGTTGGAAAGTGATACAAGCTCTTGATCCCTAGTACGGACATCGATGGTGGCAAGGTGGCCTCCTCAGGATCCAGGCAAGATTCCTCTTTACCGCTGGAATTGTGGGTTTCCTCCTCCCCTTTCCACACCAACACCTATTTCCTGGTGTGAACTTGTCGTGATCTCAACAGAGACGTCCTCCAAGGAGGCTGAGCCAAAGGAATGGGAGATTCTGATGCCTGCGGGCATAGAGGACCTGCTTGATCATGGAGATCCTGGACCCTCAGACAACTAGGAGCCTGATCCTACAAATCCTGGACCCAGTTTTTTATCTGGGCGTATTCATTCAGCTTAAACAAGGATGGCCCTGAACCCAGAATTAAGCTGTTGTTGTTGTTGTTGTTGTTGTTGTTGTTGTTGTTGTTGTTGTTGTTGTTGTTGTTGTTGTTGTTGTTGTTGTTGTTGTTGTTGTTGTTGTTGTTGTTGTATGTGTTTGCAGCAACTGGAAGCAGGTGGAAAGCTGACTACTATAAAGCTGACCCTGGAAATGAATTTCCTCCGGGAAATGGCATGCTTTTAAATCTCTGTCCCTGGAATGATCAAACTCAAGAGAAGGGATAAAGCAACTTGGAAACTGATGAATTTTGTCACTGCTGGTACTCATGCAAGCCTAACGTCACGTGGATGGTGGGACAGTACACAGATGAGATCAGCACTGAATGGAGAATACAAGCTCCCTCTGGAAGATCCTGGACTTCAAAAGTGATGAGAAAACCTCATTCTCCATTGAACACAATGGCAGGAGGAGAATTTAGGGATAGTGACCGGTATACGTAGCTCTGGCTTCTAACGCCTCGTAATTACTACCCAGGGCATGCCATGGGGCCAGCATGTCTAAAGCTGGATTCTGTTCTTCCAGCTCTCCCAAATAACTTGAGAATGAGGTGCACGTTCTGCTAAGGTTTGGGCCTAGATAAATGACTCAGCCCAGCAATGGTGCACTTAACTCCTAGGCTAGTAGGTGGATTCCTACAACTCTCAGAATCTCCCAGCTATGTTGATTCAGGGGATTGCAGGCTTTAAAAAGGGAAGCTTTTAAAAGATCTGAATTGGCACTACGTCCAAATGGCGCTACAGTGCCAGCTTGCTGAAAACTGGAGCTAAGCCAACCGGAAGCATGAGGGATCTCTCCCATTCCTCTCCTCCACCGATTCCTCATGGGTGTCCAACCAACATACAGAACTGACGGTCTTCCCATTTGCTCTTTTAGTTCTGGGAACAATTTACGAGTGAAATTTCCACAGCACTCTCTCCACACCCGTTGTGCTGATACGAAGCACAGGTTACCGAAAAGAGAAGGTAGCTCGCGTCAGCAGTGTGGCCCTACTTACACAGTGTGTGGGGTGACACACTTCTTTCACTATCGTTGTTAACCTTCACACTTCCTCCTCCTCCTCTTGTGTGTGTACGGGGAAGGGGGGCAGCTATTTCCATATGTAAAAATGCACTTAAAAGTAGAGAGGTGCTCTGTCTGGCAAGCCCACCTACAAATCTCAGTTCTACGAAGTTTGTATCTCAAGAGCACTTATTAGCACTTATTATCACAGTGGCTTCAGGGTCCTCTGTACAAGACAGCCGCTTTTTATTTGCACGGGGGGAGGGGGGAGAGAAAATAAAAGAAAATGTTGGCTTATCTCTGGAATTTTTATCATCACCATGTGACAATTCATGTGACAAAATCTCAGTATGCTAGAATCCAAGAGAAGGAAATTGAAAATATCGCCAGACAGAAAGAGAGTTAAAACCAGATCAAGTGATTCAGGCAAAGGAAAACTAAAAGACCCAAATACTGAGAAAACCATTCTTGTACTCTAGATGTCAATGTGATCACAATACACCAACTGCAGAAGGCTCAGTGACTCGGAACAGCAGATATTTTAAGGAAATACCTAGGAATATCTTAGCTGCTTGTTGTTGTCGTTATTTAGTCGTTAAGTCGTGTCCGACTCTTCGTGACCCCATGGACCAGAGCACGCCAGGCCCTCCTGTCTTCCACTGCCTCCTGGAGTTGGGTCAAATTCATGTTGGTCGCTTCAATGACCCTCTCCATCCATCTCGTCCTCTGTCGTCCCCTTCTCCTCTTGCCTTCACATTTTCCCAACATCAGGGTATTTTCCAAGGAATCTTCTCTTCTCACGAGATGGCCAAAGTATTGGAGCCTCAGCTTCGGGATCTGTCCTTCCAGTGAGCACTCAGGGTTGAAAAGACCTAAATCAAGCCAACGTTTGGGGTGGGCTGTGCATAATGGAAAAGGCAACAAAGCCGAGCTCAAGGTGCCTTCAAGAGTACTCCCAGTTTTCGTGGCAGGCCCGTAGACATTTCAAAACATCTAAATTCTAAAAACCAAGACATTTTGTTGCTATGCCATGTTTTCCTCCTTAACACAGACACCTATATGAAATATTTGTAAAAGACATATTTTTGCCACGCAACAGATCTACAGAAGTGAAGGAGAGCCGCACAATGGCACCGCCACCACCTTGACCTGCTTCCGTGCATCGCAAAGGCACTTCTGCAGACGTAAGTCGTGGTGGCTTGTGCACCCGAGCCACAACAATGGGCAGCCCAACCCATCTTGACGCACAGGGGTGCTTCCCAACAGACGGTGTTCCAGCCAAAAGCCAGCACACCCGATCCAGCTATGCTTAAGAGAGGCAGGCAGATCCACACAGTCAATGGTGCCATGGGCATTTTACACTCTCTTTCACCACTGGAAAGTGTTGAAAGAACTCCACACCACACACACACACACACACAGGGCTTTGAGTGAAAACCACTGCATTCTTAATATAGTGTGTGTGGTTTGTTTCTTTTTAAATCTGCTGTTCAGAAGAAGGAAATACATGCTATTTTTAAATTCCACTTCCTATTACAAGAGTAAAATTACAGTACAAGTACTCTTCTTCTTCTTCTTCTTCTTCTTCTTCTTCTTCTTCTTCTTCTTCCTTTTGCCCACATTGTGTTAATGTTCCTGTACAAGCAGTTCACATGCTCGATCTTGATCATACGGACAACTGCTCTTCAAAGTATGACAACAAACTGGAGCAAGTTCAGAGGAGGACCGGAAGGACCAGCCAGGGGACTGAAAACCAAGCCCTTTGAGGAAAGATGGAAAAAACTGGGCTTGTTTAGCCTTGAGAAAAGACTGAGGAGAGATAGGCTAGCACTTTTCAAATCCCTGAAAGGCAGTCATACAGAAAAGGGGCAAGATTTGTTCTCAGTCATCTCAAGAGCGCAGGACATGTAAGAATGGGCTGCGGCTACAGGAAGCCAGATTTAGGCTGAATCTCAGGGGAGAAAAAACTTCTTATCTATTAGAGCAGTACGACAACGGAACCAATAATCTTGGCAAGCACTCCAATGCTGGAGGCGTTCAAGAGAAAATGGGAGAGATCTGCTTTGACTAGGATTCTTGCATTGAGCAAGGGCTTATAGGCCCCTTCCAACTCTATGATTCTAAGGTTGATGTTCTAATCCTCGTAGTAAAACAGGACGTATGCAAATACAGCCATGATATGATGGCTTATTTAAGGCTGCACAAAGAGTCATGTTGAACAGGAAGAAGAAAAAAGGAACCATCGTTCCCACCACATTGCTCAAAGCATTTCAACACAACAGCTTCCCCAATTGCAAGGTTTCCGGCCTTACAAAGGTGCTTCCTCATCAAAGGGATGTGTTCGCAGGTTGTTTCACAAAAGGTCGGATTTAGAACAGGTGTTTCCAGGGCCACATTTCACACGTCCTAACCACTACAGTACACCATCGTCATTACTACTTCTACAACTGTGACTGTCAGAAAATGCAGTTCTAGTTTACAAGGAGCAAGCCCACCCCTGGGCAAAAAAAGGGACCTCTGCTCTAGATACTGGACATTCACAGAAGGAATCCTCTCTCATTTCCAGGGATTGCACAAGGGTCCAGATAACCTCTTCTATTTGCAGACTTCCCATGACTTCCTGCCACTTCTTCTGTCTTTTTTCTTATTGCAGAAAAATCCACTGAGCAAGGGAAGATGGAATGGCTACGCATCAAGATGGAAAGCCGTGGGGCTGTCCATTTGGAAACGACTGGAGTTTTATTTACAACCTCTTGTACTGTCTGTAGTTTGAGAAACTGGGGTGATCGCCTGTCTATCCAGCACCTACTCATTGTGTTCCTTCCGGCTTTTGAAATTCAAAAGCAGCCACCACCTTTCTGCTGAGTTCTAGCCCTGTCTTTCACCAGGTGGTAGCCGTTGTTTGTTGCTGTTGATCTAGTCAGTTGGCTGCCTGCATGTGTGCAGTAAAGAAAGCAATATACACAAGTCTGTAATTTCAAGCAACTATGTAAGTAAATAATTTTTTTTACTCTATTCCCCTACAAATATCTCAGAGTGAGTTACTGAGACGAAGTGCCAGTTAATGAGAAAACAGTGGACTCTTGGGAAGTTATTACAGGTATTTTCTTCGAATTTTGGTAGTGGCAACAAGAGTAGTACAAAACCAGACAACTATATCAAAATGCAATGGCAGCAATGTAGCCTATAGTGCAGTGGTTCCCAGCCTTTTTCAAATGATGACTCCCTTTTATAACAGCCAAGTAACCTGTGACCCCTGCACCATACTTGCATAAAAACAGTTTTTAATGGGATAAAATCATTTCTTCTCAGAAAGTAGAGGTTTTTTTTCTTCCCCAAAGTCCTGTCTGTGGAATACATACATGCTAACTTTAATTTCCAGCTATGAAAGGTCAAGGAATAAATTATTTAACAAATGCTACAACACAGACAAGGAGACCTGCCACTTCCTTGGGGGCCATGACCCTCAGGTTGAGAATCACTGCTGTAGTGGCTACCAAAGGGTCTCATAACATCATTTCAACTGTATACACACTAGAAACCAACCGAACAGATCAACAGCAACAACCAATCCCTTATCAGGAGAAAGATGACCTATCAATAGGACA